TACTTGTGCAACTTTCTAGGAATCGTACAACAAAAAGTGAAGCCTTGAGAATCTGGTTGCACCTTCCCCTCCTGATATTTTGAAACCTTATCATCCAGCCCATCTAGTGCAGAAAGTAACATATGTGGATCCTTCTTTCTCATTGGCTTTGAGGGCTCTTATGCTAGTGGTCCGTCTTCCAAGTTGTAGAAGTAATCTTGGACTCTCTATATTCCATGGGCATAGCAATGCTTATGGATGATTAGGTAGTTATAAAGCGGAGTTGCAATGAATAATTACTTAATCAATGCATCTAGACTAATACATTTAATATGGTTCCACCAGCCTCACCCCCGAAAACCCTCCTCCTGGTAAGTAGCCCTTCATCTGTTAAAGACCACTTAACCTTGAATCTACAACTTTTTTGGGAAGAAAAAGACACCAGACTTCTGGCTAATGTTGTCCCTTAATTGGCATGCAAAACTTAATTGCTGAATTTAGCTGTAGAAAAACAGGAAAGAACTCTTTTAAGTGTACTTGGTGGGAAATATGCATGGGACATGTCCTCTTCTGGTGAATGAGATAAGTAATTTTTGTGCATGTTTGGATCTAGATCATACATAAATGTAATGGGCAGATTAATACCATGTAGAATGGCCTTCAAAGATGATAACGTGTGTGTGGCTTCTGTCGGCAGGATAAGATATGTGCTCAATTGGAAATAAGCCATGCCAACAAAGCAAAGACAGATATCAAGGATAATAACTGAGTGAACCGTTTTATCACCACACAACATTTCTTCCCTTTCAACGTCCCAATGAAATTGCGATCAAGTTGTTGAAAGATCATACTGGGGTTTTTGGACCACACTTTTTCTATGATACCTCACACATACATCCTAGTCTGATACTGATGTTATAAGATTCAGTGAAATGACACCAAGATATTGTGGGGGCATGAATTCTCATAACCTTATGCTGTTCTAGTATTTGTCACTCTCTAAAACGTGCTGTGTTGTGTTCCACTGGAACACTAGTAATTTTTTTGATGATTCTTGATAGCAGATTACAATTTTTTTTTTTGAACCATGACAGATTTCCATTTTTTTTGAACTATGATGACAGATTACCGAGTAGGGTTACCTTGCAACTGGAATCAACCAAACATTATGCTAAGGTGTAAAGAGCGATTTTCGATTTCTGTGTATATATACACATTGGGGTAAATATCATAGTTGGTCCCTAAACTTTGTCTCCGATTTTAATTTGATTCCTGAACTTTCAATTGTCCCAGTTTGGTCTCTCAACTATTAATTTCGTCTTAATTAAGTCCTTCCATCTATGTCTATTTTCCACCACTAGATTAAAATGAAAACATATAATTTAACACTCGAAATGGATTAGATTAGACTAGTATCCGTTGATCTAACGGTGAAAATGGATGTAGATAGAAGGACTTAATTAAGACGAAATTTATAGTTGAGGGATTTAATTAAGACGAAATTTATAGTTGAGGGACTAAATTAGAACAATTGAAAGTTCAGGAACCAAATTAAAATCGGAAGCAGAGTTTAGAGATTAATTATGATATTTATCCTATATATTAGTAGTATGCAGTCTATTGGAGATAGGCCCCTCCGGTATTAGTCAAAATTGCTGCTCCTGTACGTACTCTCATTTTGTAGGCTTTTACTTTCGGTTGCACTAGCAATTTTGACAAAAGTTGATGGTCAATTGTTGGTGCATGATTATGAACTACAGACTTTGCATGAAAATACCATACAAGTAAGTCTATTGTATTCTGTCTAGTGCATTTTTCTGTGATTTAATCTTATTAACCGATTTTCCCTTTTCAGCCATGGTAAATTTTGCTTTTACTCGCAGGAAATGAATTTTTGTTTATTCATTAAGAGACAGTATTTTATTATATTGTGTCAAAATTTTGTGTCTGTGTTTTGATGGTGGTGTTGAGATATTGTGGTGTCCTTAAGTGGCCCGAGAGGCCGACCTGTGTGCATTTACAAAGCACTAATCAAATCTAACAGAAGTATTGGTATTGTAATGCTGCAGGGTTTACAGATTTTGGTACTAGCAACCATTCTGACTCCAGGGACAGGGAGATCGAAGATATTTGTCTGGAACAAAAATAGAACCGGTTAGAGAATTTACTTTCACTGGAAATAAGGTTCCTGGCTTGCTCGTACTTTTCATATCTTACCTCTTTGACAGATGCCCCTTGCTATGAACTCGAAAATATTTGAAGAAATTTGCTGTTGATGACTTAGATATTGAAGCCCAGAATTGACACAATATTTTGGACACATGATACAGGTTAAGGTAGGTAGCCTTTCTGTGGTGATTTTCAAATTTGAACTCTCGTCTGGTTGCTTTGATTATGATTTATTTTTAAGCAAGAAGTTCTGATCATGGTCTCATTTCTAATAGGCACAACATACAAGTGTAAATAGTGTTGGAAATAGGATGCTTCCCGAAAATCTATCATCTGAAACAAAATTAGAAAATTGTTTCAAACATTGTATGTTCACACTGTTTGTTACAAATTATGTTTGGCAAGTTTTTTCAATCTTCTTAGAAAACTAATCTTTGCTGGTACTTGACAGTAACTAAGGAATGAAGATTGCTAGACTATTTAGAAGATTGTTACAACCAGCAAATATCCTTCAGAGTTCCATCTTGTTGGTGACATCTTTTATCTGTTTGTAGATTCAATCACACATCCGATCAGTCCATTTCATGCAGGAAATTTTTTTTGGTTAATTGGCTTGCCTTTGATGACATATAGATGTACACACGCGCGTGCACACTATTAATTAAATTAAAGGAGAAGAGGGGGTTTGGTGTTTATTGTGAAATATCTATTTTAGCCCTTAACTACTCATTATCATCCACAATTTTCCATTTTTGTTGATCTTTTTGCATGCATATATCTATCTATGTCTCACCATATCTCGCTCTTTTGTAATTACACATACGGATACCGTGTGCAAGCACCCTTACTATTGGTGGATGTTGTCGGTTATAAATTGTCTTGGGTAAAGATTCATGAAATATGAAAATTGTCTTTTCTTCACTCATTTTTCAGTTTTAAGACATGTCTTTATGAAAAAAAACATTAGTCATAGGCTGGAATTGCATCATTAAGCTTTCCTGACCCCTTTGTTTGCTTTATTTTTTGCTAGATACGATGAATTAAGAAGAGATAGATATGGGGGCAGAGCATATTTGCCAACATGCAGAAATCCCTGGGCAATGGGCTGGACTGATTTACAAGTCGAAGCCCAGTTGTGAAGATCATGGGCTAATCCATTACAGATTTATTGGTTGCTTAATGAACAGAATGGACAGAGAAGAAAGCAGTTTTGGCTCACCAACCTATGTCCATAATAACACCACAAGATGGCACTGGTGGCATCTCCCTACAAATGTAAGGCAACTTGCATAGATTTCTTTAACGCCAGTGCTCACTGGTCCAGGGAAGGGGGGAGACCACGTAGGATACAAAGAACTAGCTAGCTGGTGGGGGGGCATCACACAGGATTTTTACTTGGGGTTAAAGATACTAGTTTATGGAGTCTAGTTATATTAGAAAAAATTAAGATCAGTATTAAAAAAAAATTTAAACATTTTAGATCATGTTATAATTTATAAGGTTCAAATTATCCTTATCCTTAATATTGTAAAGATGAATTGCAAAAATTTTGACAATTATAACTTAGTCCCAATAAATTGTATAAAAAAAGAACTTAGAAAGGTGTATTAAAGTACTATTTTTAGCATGATTGGTGTAACAAACACTCATTTTGTTTATTTTATTTAGGATAAATATCATAATTAGTCTTTTTAACTTTACATTTGATCACACTAACTTTTAATTATCTTAATTTAATCTATCAATTATCATTTTCATCATCTCAATTAAATTATTATATCTTATTTTCACCGTAGACCAACTTCTAAAGTGTCAAATCATCTTCTGTTTTGTTTTTGTTTTGATTTAAGGGTGAAAATGAACCAAATAAAAAAAAGCGCATGTTACACACAAACTTAAAAACTACCCGATTATCAAAACGTTGTTATTATGTCACTAATGAGTGTCGATACCACATATTTAATGATAGTAATTATTATATACCTTAAATCAGATGCAAAATTTAAGAGACAATTATGACATCAACCCTTTATAATTTTATAAAGGATGAAGACATAAAATCTCAATCACTCTCCCCCCCCCTTCAATATTTGTTCTTTTTTTTCATTTCCACAACTGATTTTTTTACTGGTACCGCGAGCTCGTGATCTCACGATTGCATGGACTTTCGAATAAAAATGTTAACTCTCACATGGTAAATTATAAAGCCAAACATTGATGTGTGCCATCATTCCTTGGGCCACAAACCACACCAACTCTCAAAAACCCCTTCGAAATAAACAACACAACCCACGATTTAGAGTATGAAAAATGCATAAAAATAATTTAGCCAAGGGAGTGAGAACAATTCACAAGAACAATAATAAACCCTGAACCTCCATTCACTTCATTCCTCATATATTTGTAATTCTTAGAGAACAACAGTATAGAGAGCGAACAAGCGGTCAAAAAAGAGAGTCACACACCAAATCATAGAAAGAACCACAGAGCATTAAAGATCTATAACCCAAAACCCCAAACACACCCCCTCATGCAGAAAACAATTGATATTACCAAACCCATAACAGATTACCCCCCAAATCCTAAAACCTAGCTCCTCCAGCTACCATCGGAACCCCCACCACTCCTGCTGGAGTAGCGGGACCCACCATCACCATACCCACGGTCACCGCCACCATATCCACCACTCTCACGACGGCCACCGCCATAACCACCACCACCACCACCACCACCATAGCCGCCGCCGCCGCCGCTACCATATCCACCACCATCCCGACGACCGCCACCGCCGCCACCATATCCACCACCATCACGGCGGCCACCACTACGGAAACCACCACCACCACCTCCACCGCTCCCACGGGACTGAGCCTCGTTGACAGTGATGTTACGGCCGTCAAGATCCTGGCCGTTCATACCCTCGATCGCGTCCCTCATCGACTGCTCATCCTTGAAAGTCACAAACCCAAAGCCTCTTGACCTTCCAGTCTCACGATCATTGATGATCTACACATCAAACAACAACATCAACAAAAAACCATCAGATCTAACCAGATCCATAAATATAGATAGTATCAAAAGCTGAAAAGCGATCGATCTTCGTCTCTGGTAAAAGAGGAAGATGGAACGTACCATTCCAGGGAATCAAAAACAGTAACATATAGAGTAACAGAGACAGTAACAGATCAGAATCAAGAAAACCAGAGTAACAGTAAGATCAGATCAGATCAGGTGTCAACAAAGCCGAATCAGGGCGGATCCGATCTCTGCGACAAACGGACCTTCGAATCGATGATGTCGCCGAACTGAGCAAAGGCTTGTTCGAGGGACTGATCGGTGGTGGCCCAGGCCAACCCACCGACGAAACATCTGTACTCCACATCTGCAGACGCCATTGAGAGAGATAGAGAGAGCCTACTCAAAGAGAAATATAGGGAGATGAAGAAACAATGGCCTCCAACCGCCTCGTTATATAGCCGGAGGGTGCCGCATTGAACTAGGGTTACTCGGAGTGCGCAGTGCGCTTTTTGCCCTTTTTAACCTAACTATGGTTAGAAGTGGTGTGGAAAGAAGGTACACATTGTTTGGTTGCGGGTGCAGGTCTATCCTCTGCCTCTTTTTTCTCATTCTTCTCCAAGTTTTTTTGCCCATTAAAAATTCAAGACCAACTATTTGATTATATATCTCTTTTTATGATTTTTTAATAAAAAATAATATCTAAATAATATTGTAACACTTTTTTGAATTGAATCGAGCTATAAGAAATAGAAAATGGATCACGTATAATGCAATATAAATAATTTGCTACAATTAGTATCTTAGACTCATGAATTTTTCCTAATGGTAAATTATTATGACATAATATAAAGGTAGTGTTATCATACAAAAACAACATTAATATTCAATTTTTCCATTTTTTTTTCAAATCATTCCATATGATTTAGACATTTGAGGTTCATCCATTTCCTATACTTCATAAGAGTTAACCATATTTGTTCCTCATGGGACAAGTTTTAATCTCGCTCAAATTATAGTGGTCAGTATCTAAGCTCAAATAAGTAATCAATACAAATTTGAACTCCATATAACTATGTATACATAAAAAAAGAAGTAAATTAGGATGACAAACCAATCCATATGGTAATAAAATTTATTACCTAGGTTCAAAATGGTTAATACGAGATGGAACTCATATAAATTTTTGGATTGACTGGTGATGGGGTGAGTGCCCTCTAGTGCAGCAGGTTAATCTTCCAGATTGTTTGAACCTTAACAAAAAGGTAGCAGATTACATTGATGATAAAGGTAACTAAAATCTTCAAGAGACAGGTACTCTCCTTCCGCACTCCACTTTGTTTGATATTTTACATTTTCCCTATCCTTTATCTGTTGACTTTTAGGATACTATTTGTTGGGGGCTTTCACACAATGGTAAATTTTCTACGAATGCAGTTTATGATCTAATTTCTAAATCCAATTCTAGTAGTGGTTCTGCATTACAATGGGATTGGATTTAAAAATTAAATCTACCACAAAAATTGAAATAATTTCTATGGATTGTCCAACATGACAAACTTCTCACAAATAATCTTAGAGCCACAAGAAATATGATCAGCGATGCCTCATACTACTGTTATCTTTACCATTACTTCTCCTCCCTTTATTGCTTGATCTTTCCCTCACACAAATCGAAACAAAGCTTAACATGGATGGATGCTCAAAAGGGAACCCAAGCCCAGCTGGGATAGGAGGAATCAAAAGGTATGAAAGGCAAATGTATAGCAGGCTTCTATGAGAGGATAGAAGACTCCACGAGTCTTCAAGCGGAACTGGAGACTATTCAGAGGGGTCTGAAACTGGTTCAAAAGAGAAACATTACTCGGATTATTGTTGAAACAAATTCTCTCGATGCTATTATTGTTGAAACAAATTCTCTCGATGCTGCAAAGCTCCTCTCTATGAACTCAGAGGCCACCCACCCGAACAGAGCTTTGATTATTCATTGCAGGAGGTTAATGGATATGATGCAGATCCCAATTATTCACACCCTTAGAGAAGAAAAGTAATGTGTTAACGCCTTGGCCAATCTTGGTGCCCAATAAATGAAAAAGTTTGTGGAGTTTGATGCTCCTCCTTCCCAGCTGGCTAATTTTTTGTTAGCTGATATAACCGGTGTGGCTTTTGCTAGGCATTATGTCTAGTTTTGTTCTGTTTTTTATCATCCCATGTACCCAAAAAAAAAGGTAATAAAATGGAATTAGGATATTGCGGAATCCGCATCTGGGATAGGAAGCACTAGGGCAGAATATTATTCTGAATATCCACGACATTTGTTACCTTAAGCGGACCCCACAGTCACGTGAATGTTTGATGGCTGGATATACTTTTGATTTTTAAATTATAGATATTTTTTCGGAGTAGTTGGATTGGTGGGGCCCGTATCAAATAGAAAATATCTATCGCTCACTCATTGGTCAAGGTGAAAATATCTATCAGTCGAGTTACATATCTACCCACGGACACTTGTTGAAATTACGATTTGATCCCAACTTAAAATGACCTTCTTGGAAGCTATTCATCACTCTTGGGGCCTGGCCCGCCTGGGCTGGGGGAAATGAGATCAGAGCTTGCAGGGGGCAGATAAAAGCAGGAATAAGAGTTATAAATTTAGTTATTATAAATTTAAAATTTAATAATTTTTTAAAGTCAAGTCATGAGATAATTATCCTCGTAAATACTTTAGTTTCGACGACGTAGATGATCTACCTTTAACCAAAAAAAAAAATCAAGCAGTACCTCCACTTCAACCAAGTCGCCCATTCTTTCAATTCTCCAATTTCAAATTTTATGAGATTCGATTATACATTACATGACCAGATTATATATTTTTATAATAATTTGGATGAATGGGAAAAGTTTGATACTATAGCATTCGCATCATATATATATATATATATATATATATATATATATATATATATATATATATATATATATATATATATATTTGTTCTAAGGTATTCAATTTTATGTTAATTATTTCCTTGAACTCGAATATTGATCATTGTAACTCGAACGAGTTTAAAATATGTCCCTTGAGGAACAGGGGTTACTTACCCTTGAAGGGTATAAAAAAATGTTAAATATAAGATTTTTGAATTACTAGAAGTCGGACTCAATCACTATTAATATGACCGTGAACATTATTTGAGAGAATAGTTTACTAATAAGAACTCCTTGACCAAAGATATGCACTTTGAATTTGGGCCAGAGCATCGTAGAAATGGACAATATGCTTCCACCCAAGCAACTAAGTAGCCATTCTTTCAAATTCTCAAATTTCAATTTATGAGATCCGATTATATATGACATGACATGACACGATTATTTATTATTATGATAATTTGGTCGGATGTGAATTGATTGAAGTGTGATACTATCTATAGATCTTATATGAAGCATGAACTTTATATGAGACGATAACGATACTCTACTAATCTCTCCCTCACCAAAGATATGCACCTTAAATTTGGGCCAAAATATCGTAAAAATGGGCCTTTGTGTTTTGTTGTCGCTTGTAGTTATGTACTATGTATTATGGGTGTTGCACGTTCCATTATAATATGAAATATTTGGAGGCCTGTATTTTTCTGCGAACTTAAAATTTATTTGTTATGAAATTTATTTTTTACCAATTTATTGAACTATTCATTCATTTTAGAAGTGAAATAAAAGTAAAAATTAAAAACTCTTAAATATTAAAAATTTGATTAAAATTAAAAAAATTTATCTCTTACCAATATTCAAGTAATATTTTGAATATTTGTTATTTATGTTATATTAAAATATGTTATGTTACATTATGTTAGGTTAGATTATTTAAAATATTAAATTTATTTAAAATTTAAATTTAAAATTATGTTAACTTGGGTACGGGGCAAAAGGACAGTAACTAAAAATTTACCCACGTGAAAAAGGGTAATGGAAACCCGTTCCCCTCCGCTTTCGCTTCGGTCCACATCCCTATGTGCCATCTTTCCTTGGGCCACAAACCACACCAACTTTCAAAAACCCTTCTAAAAAAATTTCACGATAGAAGAGGCTTTTGTAGGTATTTGATGTCCGGACAAATGAACACAACCCACGATTTAGAGTATGAAAAATGCATAAGACTAATTTAGGAAAAGGAGTGGAACAATTCACAACAACAATAATAAACTGAACCGAAATTCACTTCATATATTTGTAATTCTTAGAGAACAACAGTATAGAGATCGAACAAGCTGTAAACAACGAAATCACACACCAAACCACAGAAAGAAAGTAGACAACTAAACAAGGTCTAATTAGTTGCCCTCGATACTCCAATCAGAAGTAAATATTGACATCACCACCACGACGACCATATCCACCACCATCACGACGACCGCCAACGCCATAAATATTGACATTATTCGTCTCGCTGCCTTCACCACCACCACGACGACCATATCCACCACCATCACGACGACCGCCACCGCCGCCACCATATCCACCACCATCACGGCGGCCACCACTACGGAAACCACCACCACCACCACCTCCACCGCTCCCACGGGACTGAGCCTCGTTGACAGTGATGTTACGGCCGTCAAGATCCTGGCCGTTCATACCCTCGATCGCGTCCCTCATCGACTGCTCATCCTTGAAAGTCACAAACCCAAAGCCTCTTGACCTTCCAGTCTCACGATCATTGATGATCTACACATCAAACAACAACAACAACAACAAAAAACCATCAGATCTAACCAGATCTATAAATATAGATAGTATCAAAAACTGAAAAGCGATCGATCTTCGTCCCTGGTAAAAGACGAAGATGGAACGTACCATTCCAGGGAATCAAAAACAGTAACATATAGAGTAACAGTGACAGTAACAGATCAGAATCAAGAAAACCAGAGTAACAGTAAGATCAGATCAGATCAGGTGTCAACAAAGCCGAATCAGGGCGGATCCGATCTCTGCGACAAACGGACCTTCGAATCGGCGATGTCGCCGTACTGAGCAAAGGCTTCTTCGAGGGCCTGATCGGTGGTGGCCCAGGCCAACCCACCGACGAAACATCTGTACTGCACATCTGCAGACGCCATTGAGAGAGAGAGAGAGAGAGACAGAGAGATAGAGAGAGCCTACTCAAAGAGAAATATAGGGAGATGAGGAAACAATGGCCTCCAACCGCCTCGTTATATAGCCGGAGGGTCTAGGGTTTCTCGGAGTGGGTGTGGAAAGAAGGTAGACCTTGTTTGGTTGCGGGTGCAGGTTTATCCACCGCCTCTTTTTTCTCATTCTTCTCCAAGTGTTTTTGCCCATTGAAAATTCAAGAGTCAAGACCAACTATTTGATTATATATCTC